TTTGAGCTCAAAAAAACATTCATATCTTGTCTGATATCTTTGCTACAAACTCGGGTCTACAACTCGGGCCTTCAATTGAAGGCCCGAGTTGTAGACCCGAGTTTGTAGCAAAGATATCAGACAAGATATGAATGTTTTTTTGAGCTCAAACGAAAGAGCGGGTCGAGAAATGGCGTGCTAGGATTTTTAATTATTATTAATTTTTTAATTATTTTAATTATTTAATAATTTAATTGCAATCTTCCTCCACTAGTAGACTTTTTACTTTTTGAGACAATGAGACAAACGGGTTTGAATACAAAAATGAAAACATCAGGACATAACATACACACAAATTCAAGTTTTATATTTAAAATCGTACATTCGTGAGAAAAAACCTCATAGGCTTTTATGATAATTTTTTGTAGTCGCAATCATCAATCGGGATCAGTTATTAAATTTTAAATTCATTAAGAATCAATCAACAGTCGATTTTTTAAATTATCCAGAATATCTGCCACTTTATTCTCCAGATCGATGTGACACTTACGTTCCATCTGGTGATCCTGCAACAGATAACAAGAAAAAACCATTACATCCAGATTTCCCATGATTGATTTCAAGGATAGGGTCACAATTTTTAGAAGCTATATATTTTTCGTCATTAAGAGAATGAACTTATACAGACTGAATGATAATAAACCGTCGGATAACATACATTCCCTAATTCAAGATCAATAATATCTAGGATATCCGACATCTGGTCCTTTGGAATAGACACCTCTTTCCCCCGTAGACCTGTCAGAGGCAATATTACTTCTGTATCTTTGGCTGGTGGCACTCTTGAATTCACTCGGAGGTACTGACGATTCAGAAGCTCGGATGGGTCCCCGTAGAGTCATCGGATGATTATCAGTCACCAAAATCCTACGACTGTTCATGTTATTGACCGGCCCCACGATTTTTCTCTCCGAAATCCGTGTCTCAGATCTCTTACTATCAACATTATAATTTTGCTCCTCAACGGCACTTCCATCTCGTCGAACATTCGACAACGGATCAATCCCTCGATCAATCCTCATTCCGTAAACATAATCATCTGGCGTTATCGCTTCGGAACTGTTTCCGTACGGCGAAAAGAGGGTGGATGCCTCTGAATAAGGGAGATATTGAGGTTCGACACTCGCTCCATCGTCTTCATTAACAGTCCTAACACCAGGATATTCGTATTGGATTATTTGACTCCTAGGGATTGTATTCTGCCTATCATCATTAAGAGTTCTCGAATGCAATTCGTAGGTTACAGGGTTGTAGGTTGTTATCGGAACATCCTTTACGTCTTTTATTCCTGGAGATGATTCTTCTTTTCGATGTAGCTCCTTCTGTTGATCGCTCCCTTCGCTTTCTTCTTCTGAAGCTATCACGGGAGGTTCATTAATCGGTTTAGGTTCGTAATTAATTTGCTGATAGCTATCCTGAGGTCTGTAATGCCCAGGATTCTCTTCATCATCGTTTCCTGAAGCTGACGATTCATCGGATGATTGATTATGATATTCCCTTTGCCCTGAATCTTCTGAATAATCTCTATCAGCTTCCGAGTCATGAGGGTCTCTCGATTGCTCGTAACTTTCAGACTGTATGACAGGCGTCTCAGTTTCCTGTTCCTGATTGCTGTCGTCTTCCGCCACAGCTGTCTCCGAATAATCATACTCCAAAGGAGCTTCATAAGTTGCATTCCGATCCGCTGTCTCTTCCCCTGATTCGGGGGAATCCTGGTAGGCCGGCGTGACCGTTTGATCATCGGAATATCGTTCCGATGAACTCTCGAATTCTTGGGGGCTCGCAGGTGTTTCGTGAGCCAGCTCACTCTTGTCATCTTCATGAAGCTGTTGATTTTTCTCCGGATCTCCAGTCACTCGCGCGGATTTATCGACCTTCGCCGTCACAGGCGGCTGCTCATCAGACGATTCCTCTGGCGAGTCAGTCTCGGTGGAATCAGCAGCCTGATTCCGATATCTCTGGTACTTTTGCTCGGTGAGTATCGACTGCGTTGATTTTTGCAACGACTCCGGGGAGAAGAAGTACTGCACCGGTTTGTAATAAGGACTGTACCTCACGAAGTCGAATGGAACTAATGGCAACGGCTTCCTTTCAATTATACTCTCGTTCTTTGTTTCGTCTATCTTCGCTTCTGCCTTCGGAGATCTCCGTTTAGAAGGCTTTCCAGGATTTTTTCGACCTTTCACTTTTGTCTCCTGTATGACTCCTCCATTCGACGGCTTATCATACGTTTCGCGAATTTGTTTAACAACTTTCACTTGATCGTCCTCATTCACACGATCCTTCAGGTTTTTAGGATTGCTTAACTCGTATTCTTCGAATTTATTCTGCAGTGGAATTTTGTAATCATTATGAAGTCCAGATATGGGAGCTCTGGGGACGCCTTCGATCCACCAGGGCCTCCTCTGGATTTGCGGGGCGATGATGCTCTGTGCATCGAATAATCCAGACTGCGCGTTTTTGAATCGCTGGAAGTAGTCGGCGACATTATCGTCTATTTTTCCGGAATTCTCCAGGCTCTGACCGTAGCTGTTCATAAAGGGGCCGTGGAAAGGTTTCTCCTCGATGGGTAATTTAATTCCGTAGTAACTCGGGTATTTTTGCGGGATGTACTCCTCCGCGTCTTCCAGAGACATTTTCTGCAACTCGTTTCTCTCCCTCGAAGCGCTTGATGGGAGCTTTTGAGATGGCGATTGCTCCTCTCCAGAGGCGTCTGGGGTGTATTGCTCAGATTCTGACTCGCTGTCAGAACTTTGCGACTGGTCATTATAATTTTCACCTCTAGGATCTTCCTCTTTGGCTTCTTCCTCCTGATCCTCGTCGTTCGACGTCTGCGAGCCTTCGTCTTCAGGCTCTCCTGCATATTCTTCGCCAGCCTCTTCGTCACCTCCGCTCTCATCTTTCTGCTGATTGTCCTCATGACTTCTGTCCAGCGCTTCTTCGTGACTGCTTTCAGAGTAAACTGGCCTGTTCTGATTCTTCAGGATGATCTCCTGCTCTCGATTGTTATTGTTCTCAATAATCTTCTTGTGATTGTTTCGTCTTTCATCGAGATTCGGGTTTCTATCGCCAATTATCTTCTGGGACTGCACGTTCTTCGTTTCCTTGTGCTCCTTGTTGACGTATTGATGTTCAATAACCGTCGGAGTTGTTGGTTTCACCGATGTTTCCACAGAATTCGGTGTCACGAAGGAAATAATTGGCCTCTGAGGATATTGCAAATCCCGGAAATTCTGAATATTCGGTGACAGTGGGATGGGAATGGGGACGAAGTAAGGTTCAAGAAGAGGTGGTCTTGACTGAGCGTTTCGGGGGTTTATAGCCGGAGCTGCGGCAGGCTGAGCTGGAGCTGCGGCTGGAGCTGCGGCTGGAGCTGCGGCAGGTGGAACTGGAGGAGCGACTGGAGCCCGTGGTCTTCCAGTGGTCGATCCATGGAACAACTGTTCGTACTGTCGCAAATGCCCCAGGATATCGGAATTATTTCCGAAATTGACGACTCCAGTGAACCTCAGAGTTTCTCTTTGTCTCGGTGCTGACGCTGCTGGCACTGCTGCAGGAGGCGATGGCGCTGCTGGTGCTGCGGGTCTAGGTGGAGCTGCGGGTGGAGGTGGCGGTGCTTGGGGTGCTGCAGGATTTGCCTGCCTGATGTCTATGCTGAGAGGCCCAGCAGCCATGGTTCCCACTGTGTTAGGGTTCGGGAGGGAGGCTAGCTGCACTGGCGTTGCGTTATATCCGAAAGCCTGCACCAGCCCTTGAAGAAGCACCCCTAGCGCTCTCTTGTCCCTTGGGTTTCCATTCTCATCGAGGAGAATTGGCGAGTTCGGATCACTCCGTTTTATCTCAGAAGCTAATTCTTCCACTTCACTATTCTCCGATGTCTCGGCAGGGGTTTGAACAGCCTGTTTTATAAGCAACAACACATTTAATGACAGAAGAATTGCTCGCGGTAAGATCTCCATGATTGATGACACGTCAATCCAAACGCATTATTCAAAAAATATATTCACGAATAACAAAGTTGTGGAGCTTCTGCTAAAACTTGAAACCGATCCCTAGACTAGCGTAGCACGTACTCACTCCGAGGAATCACAAACGACAATGGAGAATGATCGATCGAGCGGGGCATTGAATTTTTGCATAATGCCGGAAAGAAATGTAAGTTTCACTTGGATATTGCACACGGGAATTAGGAGGGGGCGGGCCACCGTTAATTTGTTGTTAAGCGATGCGAGAAACCGACGGTCAGCTTCAACTCATTCGTAAAAACATTGTCGCCTTCTGATCTGTAAAAGTGTTGCAATTACAAGGGAACGTGGGTAATAGAAGCGAGTATTACTCCTGCAGAATTCTTTATTCGTGGAAGTTTTTTTTACGTTAATTGTCGGGTTATTCGGAGTAGCCCAGGGCGGTTTCTTTATCGATTCTGCAAATATTTATTGACACCGATTTTTTTTACGGTTTATGACCCTTATTTCCGCTTTAGTACGCTGAATTCAAGTTGAAGAATAGACGCTTTCGACATTTCCTGCGAGTTGAGGGAGAGCATACGAAGTGAAAGGACACTTTCCACATCATCAACTGTCCGGGAGTCGCAGACCGCCCGAGAAATTAATTATTATCATGGATTAACAATTGTATTGTTTCCTTCGGCTTGAGTATAGTCGAGAATGAATGCACTGGAAAAACTAATGTCTTCAAAACTTTTCAATTAAAAATATTAGACATTTTTTTTTTAGAAAAAGGAAAACTAGTGTTAGAAATAATCCCGCATTAAAAAAAGGGTCAATTTCAAACACTAGTTTTCCTATTGTGATGGGGCAGAGGGGTCAATGCGCCTTTGAGGAACTGAACGGAGATTGGGTGATCGTTATTTAATTGATTAAAGACGCCGATGAATTTTTTTGTGACAGATAAACGTCATGATAGCTAATCAACGCGATTCATTTTCTTCAGTGTCCGAAGAACCTGCCGACGGTGAAAGGTGTTATGTATCTGTTACTTATGGCGACCCGAGTCGAATAATTGGACCTGACAAGTTTTACTTAGGTCTTTCCGTTCAGAACTGGATAGGGCTTGGGAAGCCCCTTCCCGAGTGCTTCCAAGACCTTTCTACCTCTGGTTATGTCCCATTTCAGCACTTGTTAGGTGTAAGCAGGACTTGCATTCAGACTTTCCAAATCCTTGCCGGTCCCCGTAATTCTATGGGCCTATATTAAATCTGCGTTCATATCCCTGTTTACTCATGCGTTATTGAAATAAAAAATGCAATTATTGTTTTTTTTTTAATCTCGAAAATCGACATTTCACGGGAGGGTGAAGGGGAGATGCATGTATGCGGAGGCTTGACATTTTTACCCAACAAGCGGCGAAGGTTGCAGACTCTATTCTAGCCACTCTTGCCCCTCCGCTTGCATGCATTGTCCAAATAAAAAATGAAAGTGTTATCAAATCTGACCCTTGTTCCAAGTAAAAACCGAAAATCTGACCCTGTGACTCCCGGTGAAATTTTTTTTTTCAGTTTTCACTTTTTCCACATACTTTTGATAGTTCTGAATAGCCCGTCGCTTAAATAGTTGGAATCAACGTTCACCCGGCTAAAAAATTCGATTTTGGCGAAAGTCGACTTTCCCCCTGGAAAAATCCAAGATCTGACACTTTGGCCCTCGTGACCCTTGGGACCCTTCGACCGACTTTCCCCCTGAAAAAATCCAAGATCTGACCCCTTTGGGTCCGGGTGAAAAATTTTTTTTTTCATTTTTAACTTTTTCCACATACTTTTGAGAGTTCTGAATAGCCCGTCGCTTAAATAGTTGGAATCAACGTTCACCCGGCTAAAAAATTCGATTTTGGCGAAAATCCACTTGCCCCGGAAAACCCGAAAATCTGACCCTTTGGCTGGGGCCAAAAAAAACGGTTTCTCAGTTTTCACTTTTTCCACATACTTTTGACAGTTCTGACTAGCCCGGCGCTTAAATAGTTGGAATCAGCGTTCACCCAGCTAAAAAATTCGATTTTGGCGAAAGTCGACATTCCCCCGGGAAAAACGGAAAATCTGACCCTTTGGCTCCGGGTGAAAAAAAAAAATTTATTTCGACATTTGTCGCGCCTTCGGGGGTTTCATTCGCATCAGAATCGTTAGAAAATACAGAATCAACCTTCACGTCCGGGTCTGTTGCAATTTATTTGTCATTTCCTAGTCTGGTATGAAGGCGATAAAAAGTTATTCTGTAACTGAGAGACAGGACTGGCGACAAGACATAAATTAAAATCAACGCGTAAATATTTGTATCAATCATCACGGCAGGGGCTTTTTCGCTCATTATTTATGAATCACTCTCTACTCATTAGACGATAATTTAGAACACCCATAACTCCGTGGTCCAGTAAGCAGAGTTTCATTAGGGGAATCAATCAAGCGTCCGGGACAAGGTCGAAAGAGTTTAACAAAAAGTGGTGGAGGGAAATTAGTCTATGGAGAAGGTCGTAAAATAATTCTGGGGAATGATCTCATTTGAATTGACGCTGATACAATTTTTATATTTTTTTCCAAGATTGGTTCCAGAGAGTAATCTTTGATAAATAATGAAAACTTTCTACTTTGAAGTTGGGGACGAGGGAGTTTAATTATTAATTAAATTTCTTTTTTTTTTCGCATGTCAGGGGATTAATGAAGACCTTTGTTATTTACAATTGTCACTAAATTTCTTAAAAACATCACATACAATTCAATTTTCAATAGATTGTGAATTCAGAAAAATTGTTGTCTGAATTTTCAAAATTTTCAAGGTTTTTCAGTGTGGACCTGAAATTTCCGTATGGTCCTGAAAATTGAGAATTACTCGAATAGTCAAGAAATTAACTGTCACTGAAAATATCCAGAAATTTCACGCAATTTTGTCGATGTTGAAAATTTCAAGCTTTTTTTACTTGAAATTTCAAGAATAATTTTGTAACAGTGTCGCGAATTTGTAGGGATTTCTGTGTGTCGCCCACAATAGTTGGACCAGGGGCATTTAAAAATTTAAATGGTTAATAATAATGTCTTTTCAACACCTCAAAGTCTATGAAATAAGTGTTGTTAACCATTGCAAAACTTGCTCTCAAAATGCTCACTCAATCCCTCTCCCCGTATGGGCTGTATGAATCAAGAAGCGTTGTTACTTCGAAGAATGCGAGGAATTAATCACCCCATTGGGACGCTGATGACGCTAATCAAACGCATCTAACACGACTCAATGGGCATCCACTCACCGCGCATGGATAGCCACTGGATGCCATTTCCTTATAATGAATTTGTAGGCAACGAGTTTTGTTTTTGAGGGGAGCGGTCAACAAGCCCACCTGTCAATCACAATGTCCGAACGAATTTACGGTTGTTACCACCTCGATGGGAATTCTAGTATGTGGATTTAACAAGTGATATGCGAGTGTTTACAGAAGCCGATGTATAAAAGAAGTTACATTGGGAGAGATTTCTATCAGTTGTGGACCAGACGCAATATGAATCTCGTGGTGAGTGTTCAGATCTATCGGATTCAATGTTATGTTTATGGATTCCCATAAATGAAAAAAAAATTAGGAGATGAAATTGAAGGAATAATAAGAATGCTCATTAAATCCTTAAATACATCCTCCGAATTTTTTAATTTATTTTCCCGTTAAATTCGTGGTTTGTGAAATGCATAAATAACATTTTATTCAAGATGATTTTGGGAATTGCGAGCGTGGCTGCTGCCACTGAAGTGCTTCCTCACGAGGTAGTGCAACCGGAAGTACCGGAGGGAAAGAAAATCGAGAAGAGAAGTCATGAGCTCTGGGAGCCCTGGGCACCTGCGATTAGTTCTCATTACACTTATTCAGCGCCGGTGTATGTTTAATTAATTTCGTATACTGCAAATTTTGAAAAAAATCTCTAGCAAAAAAATTCAATCACTCAAATGAATATTATCAAATTTTTGAAAAGAAAATATTTAAAATGTTTGAACTTCATTGAAATAATATTAAGGGAAGCTACACCTTAAAATAATTAAGGTTCACTTAATTGAAATTTTTGAAAAATAATAAGATAATTGATCATCTAAATTTCTGACTAATTAAATAATTGACAATGTGGTACTGTCAATTGATCATTGGGTAAGTAATTCTAAATTTCTTAAAGGATTTTTGTTTTCGATTAGCCAAATAATTGTCAATATTCCGAACTCAATTATTGATTGATAAAATAATTGGGAATATTAATATTCAATTGACGATTAATTTAATAATTTAAAATTTATAATTGTATTGCCTGTAATTCGGTGGCAATTTTTAATAGATTTGTCTCTCCCTGAGCTGTTGTTGAATTTATTAATGAATTATCATCTGCAGGATCAGCAAGTTACGAGTTGGTAAACCCGGCTGGAGTTCATTATTGAGTTCTGGATGGTCCCCTCAGTGGTACGTCGGTTCTCCAGTCATTGTTAAATCCAGCGGCTGGAGCGGTGGATGGAACAGCGGTTGGAAATGGTAGAATTCCTCACTCTCCAACGAGCGAAACCATCAGGTTCTTCTTTATCAGCAGCTTGAAGGGAACTTGATGAGTAGCTCTCTAACTTATTCGCAATGCAAAAGATTTTGATTCGGAGAAAACAGATTTTTAGCAGTCTATTTTTCTCAATAATAAATATCGAATGAGATAATTACAAAAAACATTACGACACTAAAAAAATTACATGTTAATTATTCTGTCAATAATTACCATTATCTTTTACAAAATTGAGAATAATTTATAGAATTGTATTTAACAAATGAATATAAAATCTTTCGAACATACCTCCACTCGCTTTTGAAGATACGATCTCAGTATATCCTCGCAAGCCGTCAGGTTCTTCTCGGTTTCCTGTCAGAAAATTTTTATTGAAGATAACACGTACGAAAAATTTCTGCATGAAATTTTATTGAAATTGTACTGAACTTTTTTTTGAATTTTATTATAAAAATTAAAACTAAATGAAAATACGACCAAAAAAATGAAAAAATTAAGCCTGAGGATTTCTACACAAAATAAAAATCTATTGAATTTTTCTGTTAAATATCTCTTGACGGAATGACAGAGTGAAAGATTATAATCTTTAATAGAATTGGCGCAAAAAATTAATAGAATTTTCTTGCAGAAAAACGCTAGATTTTTCTATTAATTTTTTTACGCACGCGAAGGAGAAATACGACTTGGATAAATACGCACTCGTAATATACTTGTCAGTTGCGCTATCTTTTGAGCTTTGATCTCCTCCTCCTTGACCACTTTCGACACATTATGCTTTCCACTCAGATTGATTGGCAACATGTAGAACTTTCTGGGAGGGCCACAATATTGTGTGAATTCCTGATGGGAAATACCGGAGTGTTTACAATGAGAAATCCGTGTTCCCGTGTTCGACAGGACTGAGTCGTTGCTTGGCAACATTTACGAACAAACATGCGATGCTAACGAGGTTTTCTCGATCGGTAAACGCAGAAAGAAGTTCACATCAATGTTAATAAACAATTATGAAACGAGAAATGAAGACAAAAATAAAAATGTTTTCATTGATGGGGAACTTGATGATGAGTTTATAAAAAAATTCTTGAAAATTGATATTATTATGTCCTGAGAAAAATCTATTGCCATAAAATATCAAATCAGTGTTGACATACAATCATGAATCAAGAATTAATAAAAAAATGGTATTTGGATCATCACTATAAGTATACGAAAATAGTAAACAGAGAACATTTTATTCGAAAACAGTTTATTGCCATAAAATTTCCGAGATAAAGTCAAACCTGACCTAATCAATTATTTTATAACCATTCCCCGAGGGTGATCATTCACCCAGACGCGATTAAAGTCAAAGAGGGTTGACTCATGATGATTCTGCGGTGGACAATGCAAGTTCAAACTGGTCACTCATCATTCCCAAATGGACCCCTCGAAAATGCCAAGGGTATCAGCATCCCATTGTCCATCAGTTAAACTCAACGAGTATCCAGTGTATTCATCCCCAAAACAGGATCTCGGCACGCGAACGAACAGGTTTCACTCGTCTTTTCAAAGATCAAATATGATGAGGCGTATTAAAACTCTCGGGGGCTGTTGGTCGCGGTAAACATCAAGTGAGGAAGAACGGGTCCATCCCCATTCTCGTGGAAAAACGGTGAACCTGAAATAAAATAGTTCACGGCGAGGGTCAGGGGCTGCATTGAGAAGATGAAGTGAGATCAAAGATCAGGATTGTTGTGATATTCCCGTTTAAATAATGCGGGACAATTGCTTTCGAATAATTTGGACGGGATTTCTGGATTATTTCATGATTTTAATTGTTTCTCGAGGATGAGAGCGGAAAAACTAGAGTTTGTGAGGTTGAGACTCTGTTGGCTCGTTTATCAAGACGTTTGAGCCGAACTTTAACCATTTTATGGATTGTGGACAGTTTAAACGAAATCGTCTTGTTTTTAGGCGAAAAAAAAGTCTTAATGCCTCATTTATGTGTCTAATGTCTCAAATTAAGACGCAGATACTAGTTTTTCTCGCTGAATCGATGGAAAATGATCGATAATAACGAACAGCCTCGAGAAGGAGAAAGCGAATGATATGCGCAAGTGATGAAAAGAGGCGGTGATATCGTAGAATACAAGGGTAAGAGGCCCCTTGAAAGAGAGGTAGGACAAAGGGGCCGCGCACTCAATCAAAAAGGACGATGAAAACAATGCCAAGTCTGACGCGTATGTCACATGAGATGCCGGAATCGGCCCACATTGGCCACCTTCATTCATACGTCCATCACCGAGTCTTTCACGACAATTTTGAATTTCTTTTTTTATTTCCTCCAGTCTTAAAACCCGAATTGTCCTGCATCCTCGTTCATTAGAACAGTCTTCACGACAAACTGTCCACGAGGGGACAATTGATCTGATCGTATTATGCGGATGCTGAAGGGCCTAGTCAAGGGACGAAATTTTCACTGAGGGGTTTATAAAATTCTTGTGAACCGTTCAAGCTACGAAAATAAAAATAAATCGAGCATTTTATTTTCTTCTAATAATTTCATCCTGAGTGAGAAAAAATATTACTCTTTTTATAATTCATTCATTCGAATAACTACATCTAATAAATTTATTATATTTATTATAATAAATATTGCTATCACGTTCATCTTCAAACTCAGTCAAAAGGGCATCCAAATACATTTTTTAAGCCATCATTCAATGAATGCAGAAATATTCAAAAATTAAAAAAGGATGGAATGAATTGAATTTTTTGAGCAATAATTTGCGATGTCAATTTCAAGAATTGTTAATTAATTTTCATTATAAATAAATAATGTATATTCACACGTAGTGGATAATGAAGATAATTAGTAGACCAAATTATCCGCAAAAGGGCATTTGCCGATCTATTTGGACCGAACGCTTTGTAAAATTCTGCGTGCAAGAGACTATTCATTGAAACCCTCCTTTTGAGTTGTTCGATGCGCCAGTATTAGTAATGAGAATGTAGAACACTTTGTAGGTATATTACCGAGGACTGGGTAGTGTAACGTCAGGGCTCTGGTGCGGCTTGCGCGCAAAGCGTATTTGTTTTACTGCCTCGGTGTTGGCATTGGTTGGTTACGTGCTCTGAATTCTTGAAATCTGCCACCCTTGTTACGCCACCCGGCACTCCCACCATTTCTCCATTCTCCCTTTTCATACTGAGAGACCAGTATGAGCCCTCTCCGACCTTTCGAACGTCTTCTCTAGTCGTAAAAATTCTTAAACTCATTTAATGCCCAAGTGTTATCACCTCTTTTGTAGACGTGACGCTGGATTCGAGGAATTTTTATGTACGAATAAATGTACTGCGCTCTCGAGATGTTATTGTTGGTGCTGTTGGGGTTCTGCCGGGGGGCGACGGGATAGGCGCGGAGGTGCGCTATCTGGAAAAGTCAGTCCGGCGGAGTTTTCGGGATCCTAATTTATGGCCGGGATTTCACACGTCCGTGATTCCTTTACGACTTTCCAATAGGCTTGTATTCTTTTCTGGATGAGGTGGCTGCGGCGCCATCTTCGGTTTCATGCAATGTTCAAAATTTTTTGGGTGAAAATAAAAATTAAATTACTTAAATAACACTGTGATCACATGAGAAATTCCCAAGGAACATTTCACCATCGCTCTCATACAGAAAATTAACCCTCGTTAGTCACCTGACGCGAACTTGCGACTTGGTCACTTCCGCGGGGCTTTTCCGCTGCGTTATTTAGGCTCCAGCGTTGCCGAATTCACTCTACAGTGCCCCGGCGCGTTTAGCGAGTTTCCGGCTACGTCGCGAAACAGGCATTTTCATTTAGAAATTATTTTTTTTTCTCCAAGAATTTAAAATGTAATATTTTTTCTTCAATTGACGAATTCAAATGTTTCGGAATCTCTATTACATATAAATTAACAGATATTTTAATTTCAATTGTATAATTTTGTCCGACAGTTTGACCTGGATTAATGCCTACATTAATATCCGTCTGAACGCGAGAACAAAAATGAAAATCAAGCCTGAAGATACGAAATAATAATGAATTTGTTATTTCTGCTGAATATTCGTATTAAAAAATGGAAATTGTTACGGACGATTGAATTTAAGATATCCCACACGCCGGAGATTGAAAAATGGGCAATGGACGTATTTTTTCGTCTTATTTTTTCTACATCTCAACCGAGGGGTGTCAAATTCCGTGTGAGATTCGATTGGTCGAATGGAAAACGTTTCCGGAATGAAATCACTCCACCAAGTTTAGCATCAATCTCCCTAGCATTCACGTATTTCTCGAAAATTCTTGTTAACACGAAAAATATAAATTCCCGATGAAAAAAAAAATTCCTAATGCTATCGACTAGTCGGGCGAAATGTTCCTCGACCACCGGGGACCGAGGGGAGATGGGAGTAGAATTTATAGAGTCTTTGAGAGTGTAAAAGTAAAAGAGAAAAAGAAAAACGAGAGCTTCACCCTCTAGACTCAATGTTTTCTGCAGGGAGAGACGGAAGTCAACTCGAACCCTGGCCAGAGACTCGCTAGCCTCCCATACGTCTTGCTAACCCTCCGGAAAAGTTTTGTCCTCGATTGGATCTAGAGAGAAACCAGGAAAAATCATCAAAGCCCATTTCAACGGCGGAAATACTCATTCCACAGTGCAAATGCCGTCTATTAACGCGAATGATCATTTTAAAACTCCATTCCAGATGGAATTGGAATGCGTTAGGGCTGAGTGGAACCGCCGAATTGGTCAATAATACTGCGGTATCGGGTAGATTTAGTTGGACGAGAAGGTACCCTCCATTTTCCGAATGGACTTCTGACCCCACCATCCCTCGAGCCTGTGATGCTTTTTATTAGGCTCCATCGAGGAGGATCATCCCGTATGTATACACGGGCAAATGTCGGCGTTTGGAAGACAGTGTGCGGAGGAACGAATTGAACACGAATATACCGTTGAAATGTGAGGATAGTGGCCGTGTACCGAGGGACAGCCCCATTCGCCAAATTAACTGCGTTAACTCCGCACCCTCCTACATTTTTTTCCTACTTTCCGGGAATTCTAGACATTTACGGAGCATTCTGGCCGCGGTAATTGATCACTGGCTGTTAT